GTGCTAGCCCTACTGGAGCGTACAGGATTGCGCGCGGGAAAGCCTGCACCCACAATCGTGCTCGATTAGGTAATCGAAAAAATATAAAATTTTAGAGTTTAAATTTTAAATTTTTTTAAGCCAACGTTTTTTCGCGCGCGATTGCTTGTTTGTATTGTTACAACGGAAAGAACTTCGTGTAAAGGTTCATAGCGCATGATAAACTGCGTGAGGGCGCGTTCATTATTATGTCGTGACGACAGATAGTCGTGCAATTTAAAGTGTCGCGGCTTGTATATTTCAATGAAGTTATTCACACATAGAACAACACAATTAAGACATTTTTGACGTTACGGCGACAAACTGTCTTAACAATGGGATGAGCTAGAACAACAGTCGTCAGACGATAAATAAAACGTCACGATAAAATAAGACGACAGATAATCGTAGCTTCAAACGATTGTGTCGTGCAACCAACAAGGCGGCTGCCGTGAACCGATAAGTTGTCGTCATGAATTGTGGGAATAGCTGGGCACGACAGTCGTTAAACGATAAAATAAACGTCTACGATACAGTCACGACAGATAGTCGTGATATGGGAACAGGGTAGACACGACAGTCGTCCAACGATCAATAAAACGTTAGCGTTATGCCGTTAGATAGCCTTTACGGCAAGTAGGTACGTTGCTATTGTACTATAACATGACGCGTGGATTTTAGAATCAGTAGAACTCCTTGTGAAGAGTTCGTCCAGGGAAGTAGCGTCATCTCACCTATTTATACCGCCAAGCAGTAATATGAGCATTACTGCGTTCCGGTTTTGAAGGGTAAGGAAGGGTGCTAGTGTAATACTTACTTACTTTAAGCTTACATTGAAATAAGATTGTTTTTCTGTTAATATTATTGAAACTTTACCCTGTTAGCATATCATTGAAAGTTCAATACGTATTGTTGCAAATTACGTTTTGATTTTATATTGCAATTTCAATCAATGTGCTGCCATCTAGCGGTCGATAGCTGAACAACGACGAATTCGAGATGATCTACAAAAAAGAAAACTTAGTTCTACAAAAAAGAAGTGACCATATTGCAGCGGTACCTACAAGGTTTACTTTCGTTTCTTGTAACAAAAAATTTGTTACGATAAACAGAAATTTGAAAATGAATTAAAATTAAATAAAATTAGACAACGATGATATGAAACACCACCACGGATAACGTGTGTGACTATCTTGCATCTTGCATTCTTAAGTAGGTTTTTCGAGGTTTTGCGCGAAATCATTGACGGACTGATCTCAAATATGTGGAATTCCACTTGACTTTTTGACTAACAAAATTGTATGATTCGGTTATGATAATGCTGGAATTAAGAACGCTTCGGCATGCGGAATGGAATACAATATTCCTTCGATTAATAATATAAAATATATAAAATTGTTACAGGTAGTGTTGGTGCTGAAGAACAAGTCGGAGACTGCAAAGTTATTCCAAGTAAAAGATTATGATGACATGTTAGTCGATATATTGCAGCAATAAAATAAAATAAAAATGCAGTGGATGCTATTTCTAGTCTTACTTCAGTGGTTTACGTAAACAGACGAACATAATTTTATGTTCCATGATCCAGCGAAACGTCATTTCAAATGTCTTCAAACGGCCTTCCATGGTCAGTGATTTTACTGATTTCATCGTTCAGCTGACGACAACGGACAGCCACACACCGGCTCCACCCTTATTATATTAATAAATAACCAGTTATTTTTTTTTTTATTTACTCTTAGGTTACAAAGACCCTTAAATACATGTCTTATAGACGAACACATACATAATAATATAATCAAACACTTTTTATTACACGTATGGATTGACGTGTAACGCAACGTGGGTGTCCGGTAACCGGCCTCGGAAACATAAAGTACATAAAGGTTTCTTCATGAAGGTGGAGACAGGTGTTGCGTTAGTACTCTCACCATAAATAAATTATAATTCACGTTGTGGCCGGACTCCAACCACTCGACTCTCAGGATAGCATTCATTTTTACCCGATACTCCACAATATCTGCAGACTTTGTGGCGTAATGAAACGAATAACGTGACATGTATAACAACATCGTCGGTGCTGGGTGCAATAAATGATTAGGGCCAGTCGAGGCGGTGTCACTAAGGTTACGGCGTATGTACTTCTTTATCTTTTTCACTTTCCAATTATTATTAAAAAACCGACCTTAAAAGTTCGTGAATTACATCTATTTGCAATACTGAGGTACCTTCTTTCCAAGTAAATAAGAATCATCAAAATCTGTTCACAAATGCCAGAATAATCGCGCCTTCTCCTTTTTTGAAGATGGTTAATAAAATGACAACCCTCTGCCGCGCACCGACACCGCCCTTTATTCGCTACGCTTTGATCTATACACTGCGTTATTACCGATCGCCTCGCTGCAGGTGATCAGTGAAATCACAGACCGTTGGAGTAATGGCGCATTTACACGGGTCGTCCGCCTGCCGAGGGCAATACAGTCGACTCACCATTAACACCGAGTTGCGGCAGACTACTTCGCGTAGCCGAAGGCAAAGCACCCAGTCGCTTTGGTCAACTTTAGCTGCAAACTACCGTGATCAGATAACTCACTATTGACACAGAGTAGTGTAGACTAGGCTGTACTCTGAGTAGAATTGCTGGCTGAACATAGGTAATGATTATAGTTTGTATTTAGAATGCTTTCGAAGAAATGAAATAAGTAAGAATAGAAGATCTTGACAGACAGAGAGATTGATTTATAACCTGAAAGTGAAATATGTAAAAATAGTAAAATAAACCAAAATGTTTGAAGTTAATCCCGGTTTATTGTAAGAAAAGTACCTCTCGCAATGCATCTGAGCTACAGCCCTTCTATTATAAATGGTGGAGGCACGGAGAAGATACACCATCCAATAGATAAAATTTACTTTTGTTTTTCTTTATATATTTTTTTTTAATTTGATAGATATATTATCCTGTATGTGCGAATAGTTCCTGCTCATCCCTCCAGTGATCAAGGACTGTCTGCATTCTGGGAAAATATATTTATTTAATTAATTAGACGTCTTTCATATGGGATATATCCCCATCCCATATGTATGTTAGGATATGTAGTTAGGATATGTTGTTAGCGTTATATGTGGGTTGGTTCTTGTTTGTTTAAAGATGGTAAGTGAAGCTGATGGAACGTGATAGCTGCAAAATGAGGACTAAGGCAGCTGGGAGATCAATAGTGATGTAACCCAGTGATCGTCCGATGGATGTTCAAGCCTGTGTCGTGTTGTGGCAGCATGCGCGTTGGAAATAGCTTAGGTTTAGGGAGTTTAGGGAAATAGTTTTGTAGCAATGTTTAGAAGTTTGATAGGGTCGTTCAGCCAGTTTAGGGTCGCTAAAATAAAGTGTTAGGGTTTAGTCAGGTTCCCTAATTAGATAGGATAGCTAACTAGTGAAAATATTTTGTTTTGTTTGTTTAGGATGTGGTCATGGTCTGTCCTTTTAGATAGGTTTTTGGCAGACCAAAGCCATAGCCTCCTCGGTGGTTTACTTGTTGGTAAGTTAGTGACTTCCGAGCAGTGTGTGGCTAGCCTGTAGTAAAGGCTGATCGCAGATGTAAGTTGCCTATCATAGGTAGACCATCAGCTAGGGATATTCACCCCTTCAGCTGTGAGGAAGAGGGATGTAGACTAGGCTGTACTCTGAGTAGAATTGCTGGCTGAACATAGGTAATGATTATAGTTTGTATTTAGAATGCTTTCGAAGAAATGAAATAAGTAAGAATAGAAGATCTTGACAGACAGAGAGATTGATTTATAACCTGAAAGTGAAATATGTAAAAATAGTAAAATAAACCAAAATGTTTGAAGTTAATCCCGGTTTATTGTAAGAAAAGTACCTCTCGCAATGCATCTGAGCTACAGCCCTTCTATTATAGTAGCTTGCCGCTTTCGGCGGGCAAGCTAAGGTCCACAGACGACTTGGTGTAAATGAACCATAACAGTGCTTTCACTATGACTTTACGATGACAGCTAGATATCGCTAGTGATCGCCTAATACTTTCCATACTCTAAGCCTAATACGCTTCACAAGAAAAAGTGACATTTTGTATGCAAATGTTACGCGTTTGTTGACTTAAGAAATAAGTACTGTGATAGACCGGAGTGAGTTCAGCAGCCTTGGTAATCATAGCGGAGGGAATTCCTTAGCATGAGCTCAGGTGATTGATGTGATAGTCTAGCAAATTATTATAATTACTTACTCTCAATATCAAGAGTAGAATCTGTCATCGCAGATTTATTAAAGTGTGTTGTCAATAAATAATAAAAATATTATTAATCTATGAGACACATCTCATAGTGACAGTTGCTTGTTTACGTTTTCGATCTTAAATTTCCGTCTCTAAGTATGGTAATTTCTTTGTCTTTTTTTTTAATATATGTAGGATTCTATATTGCAATAGAATTATACCTATTTATAAGAAGTCCTTGTGTGGTTTGTAATTCTTAGTAATTAGAAATAAAAGATGGTTAATTGAATAAATAAGCTTTATTTTTGGCCAAACTATTACATTTGAATAAAACTTTACGTCTATTGAAATAAATTCCTTATAGTGGTAGCAATTGTCAAATAAAATTCATAAAAATAGCATGACGACTCCATTTGGAACCATTACCGATAACCTAATTTACAAAACGGATAACTACAATCTACAAAAGGGAAGCCTTATATATGAATAAAAATTAGAAGCACCAGTGAGATACACTGAAGCACCTCCATACAATAAATTTCCCAATATTTATCCGTCTTAAATACCGTGTTCACATATTCCATTATGAATTTGAATGGGGCTAGATAATGACAAAAATAGACTACGCAAAGTAAAAATGTGACCGCCGAAGATGCACGTTCGTCTAAAGAACGCCTTTTGGTTGAATAAAAAACAGACATGTATTAGGAAGGAAGATGCAAAGCGCTTCGTTATAGCAGGTGGTATATAAATTACTTGGAGGATGGAGTGTTCCGGAATTTCCGAACGACCGAAGGAGTTCAGGTAAAGGTAGGAGTGAAGGTGGAGGGAGAAGGACTAAATTAAAAAAAATATTGATTGATCATATTTCAATATTATACCAGAAAGAGAAAGCAAGAGCGCTGTTCCCTCCAAATAAAAGTAGGCCTTTAGGGTTGAACTCCATTCAAAGGTAAATATGTAACGTTACATGTACAACCGTATGCGTCAGTCTGCTGCGCAAGAGTCTATTTGGGAGAGTAAAGTGAACTGTTTACTAGTTTTTTGATACGTGAACACGGCACAAGAGTTAACAAAGTCGTCAAATTTTAAATGCCACGTTTCTTGAGTATTCCATCCTGAGAGTTTCTAGTGTACTTTATTGCAATTCCTTAAGGTCTAATTTACACTATCAAAAGGAAACTGCACAATTTTTTACAGTTAACACTCGAATTATTATTGCCTTCAATTCAACGGGCATATTAGGGAAGTGATTTTTCTTATTATTAAAAATAGGTATATTTTTTGATGCACCAATATTGATTATTCCTATTCTAACTTTTGGAGTGTTTTCTAGGCTAATTTAGATTATTTGTAAGTTGCCTCAACTTATTGCTTCTCTTTGATTTTAATATCTCTTTTATTGTGTTGTGCCCTGGTCTCGCTAAACCTATCCTCTTTATTGAAAGTTAAATGAACGGTAGGCAGAACAGATATCTAAGATACCTTTATTGTATGTAACTTTAGCTGTTATAAAGAAGTTAAATGGAAAACTTCATTAAATTACACTTTGTTAGAATATGGTTCAAACAAGCATTTTACAGTATAACATCATTAAACCATAAATAAAGGTAGCGACTAAACAGATTCTTATCCTGCCTGCCGCTTAGGTCCGTCACCCACTACAAACCACAAACCAAACAAATATAGTTAAACAACAAAATGACGAAATTCTATTGCTTTAACAGATCTCTCCGATTTTGCAGGTAAATGTCGCAACGTACCAGTCGCGTGGCCACCACGTTCCCACGCGCTGATAGCCGTAGACTCCGTTTCTGATTACAGTACATTCGTTATGACTACTTTATATTAAAGTACAGACGTTACGGCAGCTAATATTTAACACACACGCTAAATTTGTGATCTTCTCAAATGTCCTTCCTTACACCACTAATGGACAATAACATTTTGAAGAAAATCAATTACCATTGAACATGTAAATGAACATGCGCCTGATGGTAAGCGATACACCTGTCTATAACAGTTGCAGTAGCATTGAGAGCTTTAAATTACAAAGATCTGAACACTGATACTGACCTAAGTCGAGTCACATGTGCCTGTAATATCACCAGCACCCTTACCCTTCAAAATATAAATAGGTAAGAGTAAATAATACTTTTGTTCTTATGGCTTATTTACATGGCGTATGGCCTATTGATGAGCCATTCCACAAAGTCAATTTAGTGCAAAGAGCGAAATTGGCAACATCTATCGACACTACAGCCCGAATTACAATAAGTTTCGTTACTAAACGGGAAGGCAAGCTAGTGGCTCAGGATGCACGTTCACACAAGGCCATTACATGAGCCAATTCAAT